CCAAATCTAAACTGGACCTGACATACTGGAACTTTCATTGAAATATTCTCAACATCTACAGAGCAGGAAATTATACTCCTTAGCCCATCATTTCCATGTTTAAAATTAGTTGTGGGAAAGAAGAGATTTCTGCTGTCATTTCTGCTGATGTTGAAGGAAATGGAAAACTGCTTGTCACCACAAAAACAAATTTCCCAGGATGAACTTCCTTAAATGCCTTAGAGCTTTTGTGTGTGTGTGTGTGTGTTTTAACTTTTGCCACCTCCCCATTCCTTTCCCACTCTCTAAAAAATGTTATTATTATATATTTTTTGCATTTTTTTTTTTTTTGGCCAGGGCCCAGTTTGAACCCACCACCTCCAGTATATGGGGCCAGCCCCCTACTCCTTTGAGCCACATGTGCCACCCAAAAATATCATTATTCTCTTTAGGTAAGATCTGGTTACACTTATGACCAGAAGTACTGCCTCCAAGGTAATTTTCCAAACTTAAATCATACATGTGTTTTTTAATTATGCCACCCCACCCCTCCTCAGTTCTCCATCTTATTAAGTCAGTTTCTTGTGCTTTTAATTGTGATGTCTAGATTGGAGTATAGGCCTGGGGGGAAGGTCTAGCTACAGAAAGCTTCTAGCTACTTTTAAGATTATTGATTTTTATTCTAAAGAAGAGAAGTCTATGGGAACTTAGTGAAGTGACTTCAAATCTCTAAATAGAAATGTTTAACCCTTTGTAGGTTCCAGCTGCTATGAGAAGTCGGTAAATTGTGTGCCCTCCAAGAAAAATGCTCAAATACACACACATTTTCCTACAACATTTCAGAGATGTATAGATATTCTGAAATATATCTGTTGATCTCTTCGAAGGTTCATGAACGCCAAGTTAAATATACCTATCATAAATGGTGGTTTTTTGCATCGTGAAATGATGCATTTAATCCTGAAAGTAAGCGATTTCAGTATGGATGAAATAAACTAGGTTTCAAGTGGCATAAGACTTGAAATTTCTTTTTTTTTTTTTTTTTTTGAGACGGAGCCTCAAGCTATCCCCCTGGGGGGTAGAGTGCTATGGCATCACGCTCACAGCAACCTCCAACTCCTGGGCTCAAGCGAGTCTCCTGCCTCAGCCTCCCAAGTAGCTGGGACTACAGGCACCCACCACGACGCCTGGCCATTTTTTGGTTGCAGCCATCATTGTTGTTTGGCGGGCCTGGGCTGGGGATTCGAACCCGCCACCTTAGGTGTATGTGGCTGGCGCCTTAGCCGCTTGAGCCACAGGTGCCAAGCCAAGATTTGAAATTTCAAGAGGTGCATTTTATTTAAAGCATACCAACAAGAAGATTGTCAGAACTCATGGGGGCTGAAACTGTCTAAGAGAAGAATTTACACTTAAACAAGGCTTATGAGTTCATTTGCAACTTAAGTGAACTAACCTCACTCCTAAAACAAACATATTTACAGAATTAATGAACAATAAAAACCTGCAGTATATTTTCTCTCTTGTAGTCATAGCATGCTAGCCTAACAACAGAAGCATGCAGCTAACTGTTGAATGTATCCAATAGGGTCCTCCTCCTCTTGGGTAAATATGGCAAGAATCAGAGCCTTCCATTGTAATGAGACTTTTTCTCACCAGTCTCATCTACAATAGCACCCTCTGTTCATTGTGCTCCTGTGGTGATGGAATGTAGACTTCTCTCCCTTAACTCAACTGCACTGTACTTTAAGAATGCAAAATATGTATCACTAGAATTCTTTCCTTCCAGGATCTTCCAGGCATTATTATGACTTTGAATTTCTTTTAATTATAACTAAAACTCTATCACATTTCTTTGTCTATAATTTTATTTCCATATATGTAATAATACTACTAGTAACAATTATTTGGGACTTTTAGAGAGTCCAGTAACTAATACTACCCTTCCCATATGTTTCCAAGTCAACTGAGAAGTAAGACAGTAAGTCTCCAGATGGAAGCCAAAATATCACCTTTATTAATACAAAGAAGGCATGGACTTCCTAACACAGAAACACAAAATTAGACAGACTTGTTCCCTAGTTATTGACAGCACTGGACAAGAAAAGAGCCTTCCCAACCAGGGTCAGAGCCTGCCCTACAGAAGGCCATTCACTCCCAAGAGGAAAGGCATAGAACATATGTTTCCAACTTCTCCTTCCAAAATCACCAATCAGGTAAGCCACTCTACCTCCTGTGGGATAGTGAAGAGAAAGTTCAGGAATTTTATGTTATTATACTTCCCTGCATATGGGAGAAGTTATTTCCCACCCTAACCCACTCCTAACATTATCCAGCATTTTATTCTCTTAACCCATTAAGTCTATGGTTAGGGATACAGTAATAAGGACTGTTCCCACCCTCATGTGGCTACTGCCCAAATAGAAATCATTATTCTTTTGAGAGCTTCTTGGAACTGTTGGGAAGTTTCAATTGTGATTGTAAATGGTTCTAAAATAGGTCAAACCCATATGTTAATTAAATCAATTATGATACCACTCTAAACCCACATCTGAATTCTTTTCTCCTTGCCAAACTGTGTCCAGCTGCATTGTCCAACATAATTTATCAGAGGTTCTTCAATGAGATTATGTTACATCATTAAGATACAATAATAAAATGAAGATTCAAATTTCATGAGGTACATGAAGTACTTTATAAACTACTGTTAATTTAAATAAGATTGCAGACTCTCAACTCTTTAAATGGGAAACCCAAGGAGTAATAGGTGGCTTTTCTTTTATCTCTAGGCACTTAGAAAAAAAAAATACTGTGATCCTCTTCTATTTTAACAAAGAAATCTGACAAGTATATACTATATACCTTTCACAAAACATAAGTATTAATTTAAATATCACTATTGGCCACCAATTTTGAGAACTAAATAAAAATTACATTTTAGAGGTTCAAGATTTAACAGAGAAAGCAACCGTTTCTGAAGTCCACTCTTGGAAGATTCCTTGTCAGAAATAATATTTGCAAGAACAAGTTTTATGTTACAGAATAACATGTACTAATCTGTAACTAAAGGAATAGAGGAATTAATGTTTTCTTCTTATTTTCTTGCTGCTATTTCTTCAACTAACAGGACAAAGTATAATTTTCAAGTCAACGTGTTAGAATTCCATTTGATAGCACTGAGACAAAATTTTAAAACCCTGAAAAGGCCCAAATATACAATATGAGAAAGAGGGGGCAGAATAAGATTATCAGCAAATGGCATATGGGTCATGTAAGGTTTCACACCTATATTATAAAGTGTATACACATGTAACTTAGTAATATTATTTAAGTAGACACTTATCTTTATTAGTACAAATGTCAAAGAACTAACAAGGTCATCAGAAACATGTTCTCTTCCAGACTTGCCCACCAGGTCAGACCATCCGCCTTGGACCTGCTCGTCTTCAAACACCATGAGATCATTTCTGTTACTTGCCACAGTGATTCAATGACAAACATCATTACCAGCCATGCAACAAAATGAGGTAGGATGTGATTTCCATGATATTGTACCATTTATTTAGACCAATGTTTGATTGGTTATTTCCTGATGATAGCTAACAAGGTACCAGATGTTAGGTATCACAGAATCTTTTGGGACACAAGGAAATCATAGGTAAACATTTGTCCTCTAGTTTGTCCTAGCGATTCCTCAGGTCAAACCTCAATTTCTTCTTGGACAAGAACCAGGTTTGTCTGTAGCGTGGTTTACTGATATATTTTGCCAGACTCTGACCTTAAGTCCCAACATGTCCACTGAGCTCAGGCTTCCAACCTACATCTTAAACAGTGCTCTCTGCCCTGCCTCTCCCATTCTGGATCCTTAAGAGAAGTCCTTACTATGACAAAAGCATCCCAAAGTAAAGATGACGGGAATGGCCTACTGCCTGGACATTGCCTTAATCTACCATGAAATCACACCCAGAAGGAATCTAGAGCTGCAAGAGGTGGCAGTGATAGGACAGGTAACTTATAAAATGTAGGTAGAGCCTGGACTTGGAAGCCTGAGGCAGGAGAACTGCTTGGGACCAGGAATTTGAGACTAGCCTGGGCAACACAGCAAGACCCCAGCTCTAAAATCAAAGATTTAAAAATTAGCTAGGCATAGTACCATGTAGCTGTATCCCACAGATAGGAGGATCACTTGAGGCTAGGAGTTTAAGGTTACAGGGAATTATCATGATGCCACTACATTCTAACCCAGACAACAAAGACCCTGAGAAAGAAAAGAAAAAAGGAAGGGAAGGGGAAGGGCTACTGTCTCCTATAAGGAAAGCCCATAAGAGCTCTCACCCAGGCCCCATATCCAGCATACACAGCACAGCCAGGTGATGTGGCATCAGCAACTTCTGGGAGAGTGAGTCTAGGAGGATGAAGATGTTGGGGAAAACTAGGTTCTCCAGACACATCTCCAAATCACTCTTACCTGAGGAATGATTCCTGAGGATTGAAATGTTTTCTATTTTCCCTGACATTTCAACTCATTCATCTTTTTTTTTTTTCTTTGAGGCAGAGTCTCACTCTGTTGCCCTGGGTAGAATGTAGTGGCATCAGCCTAGTTCACAGCAACCTCAAACTCTTTGGCTCAAGGGATCCTCCTGCCTCAGCCTACCAAGTAGCTGGGAGCCTGCCACAACCTCTGGCTAATTTTTCTATTTTAGTAGAGATGGGGGTCTCACTTTGGTCAGGCTGGTCATAAACTCCTAAGTTCAAGGGATTCTGCCCCCTTGGCCTCCCAGAGTGCTAGGATGACAGGTTTGAGCCACTTCCTAAACTTGTTATGATTCTTTGTATGCAATCTGTGGTGATTTTGGCATTTTCACTGCCCCGTAACACTGACAACTTACTGGAGTTTACTAATTTTCAAAAGGTTCACTACTCAGTGTTAGAGTTGGGTTTCTAGGCTGAAGCAAAGAACTTGCATTCCCCTACAGCTGTCTCCCTTGTGCTCTTCCTGTCCTCCCTCCTCAAGCAGGCCCCAGATGGTGAACCTAAGGAACAGCAGCACAGTGACAGAGTTTATCCTTGTGGGTTTTGAGGACAGCTCGCCTTCCACTCGGGCATTACTCTTTGTCCTCTTCCTGGCCCTCTACAGCCTTGCTATGGCCATGAATGGCCTCATCATCTTCATCACCTGGACAGACCCCAGGCTCAGCAGCCCCATGTACTTCTTCCTTGGCCACCTGTCTCTCCTGGATGTCTCCTTCATCACCACCATCATCCCGCAGATGCTGATCCACCTGGTGGTCAAGAACCACACTGTCTCCTTTGTCTCTTGCATGACCCAGATGTACTTGGTCTTCTGCGTGGGTGTAGCTGAGTGCATCCTCCTGGCTTTTATGGCCTATGACCGTTATGTTGCTATCTGCCACCCACTTAGCTATGCCCAGATCATGAGCCAGCAGGTCTGTGTCAGGCTAGTGGGTACTGCCTGGTTCTTTGGGTTCATCAATGGCATCTTTCTTGAGTACATGTCTTTCCGGAATCCTTTCTGCAAAGACAACCACATTGAGAACTTTTTCTGTGAGGCCCCCATAGTGATTGCCCTCTCTTGTGGGGACTCTCAGTTTAGTCTGAGGATGATCTTTGCTGATGCCATCATGGTGCTGCTCAGCCTCATGCTACTCATTGTCACTTCCTACATTGGCATCCTGGCCTCTGTCCTCAGCAGAGCCTCCTCCACAGGTCGGGGGAAAACCTTCTCTACCTGTGCCTCCCACTTGACTGTGGTCATCTTTTTATACACCTCAGCTATGTTCTCTTACATGAATCCCCGCAGCACACATGGGCCTGACAAAGACAAGCCTTTCTCCCTCCTCTACACCATCATCAGCCCCATGTGTAGCCCCATCATCTACAGTTTCCGTAACAAGGAAATGAAGGGGGCCATGGCAAGGGCCCTTGGGAGAAGTAGCCTGACCAGGGCAGAGTCCGTCTAGCAGGAAGCCCTCTGGAGGTGAAGCTCCTCCTGAGGGTGAGATTACCCCTTCCCAGCCCTGACAGGTATAACTTCCCAACGCTGAAAGGTTCTAGGAAAGAACATTTCATGGATTCCTTGGCACTAGATTCAGACCTGGAAGTTTCCCCAGATGTCCACAGCTCATCCCTCTGACTTTCAGCTTTGTTTTCTCTTGGAAATTAGGAGAATTAGAGACTTTTTTAGTTTTCTTTCCTCTAAGTTCTCACAACAGGATTTGACAAATAAGTGAACTTAATTCCATTTAATTCTATTTGTGTGATACTTTTACATGCTATCCCCCAGTCCAAGTTTTGCATATGCATTTAGGATTAAACCTTTTTCTCTTTCAATGTGTTGTTTTAGTCTGTTTTTCTTTCTCACATTCCACTCTCATTTCCTGGATCCGCCCTCATCCATCCCACTCCTGTGAGAAAAGGTAAGTAAAGAAGAAAAAGGGAATTAGGAAACGGTGTTGACATTAGGAAAAGTCAGCTAGAGAAAAGAGGATCAGCAGCCTGAACTCCATCTTCTCAGCCCCCACCAGCCAGTAAGGGAGCATTTGTGGTGGCACTAATGTCAACAGTGCATTCAATTGGTGCTTTGTGGTGTTGCAGGCAGGGCAAGAGAGGCCAGCATGTCAAATCCCTGTTCCTAAAATCCTCTAGTTTCCTTTAGTAACAGGACTGTCTGCCTGATATTTTCCTTCCCAGGCAAGTAGAAAGTGCCTCTATCAAGCTGCTCAGGCTACCAGTTTCCTTCCCTGTTATCATACCAGAAATTAATTCCCTCTCCCCCACCCCACTGCTTTCCTTTTTCTCTTACATCACTTATTTCATTTCAACTCAATCCTATTCCACCTTAACTCCTCATCTGTAAATAGATTCATCCCCTGTGCTTTAAGGCCCACCTCTCCACACTACTTCCACTATTGCAGAAGCCTTTTTATTTACAATCTTGTCCTCTCCGGCTTCGTCTCATTTCTCTCCTTAACCAAACCTAGCTTTCTTTGAGAGGGTTCTATGTTCTCCAAAGTTCTTTAAAATTTGCATTTTTCGGCTTGGCGCCTGTGGCTCAAGCAGCTAAGGCACCAGCCACATACACCTAAGGTGGCGGGTTCGAATCCCCAGCCCGGGCCACCAAACAACAATGATGGC